TTTACTGTACAGTCACAGTACGTTTACCTGCTTTTTACTGTACAGATACAGTACTTTTACTCTGTTCTTTACTTCACAGATACAGTACTTTTACTCTATTTTTTACTTTACAGATACAGTACTTTTAGTCTGTTATTTACTGTACAGATACTTTTTATCCAAAGGAAACGTATACATCTGTTCCATATACACTCTTTTTATATTGTCTATATTGTCTCTATATTGTCTCTTGTTGTCTCTTCGTAAGCTACTGGAACCAGAATTCCTCTAAAGGATTCATCCAAAGGGATAAATAAAGTCGAGTCTAAGTCTAAGTCCATGTTCTTAAAAGGCTTGAAGAGGTGCTGAATATTTGAACCCCCCCCTAAATTTTATTGTTACTCTTTCTCTATTCTCTCTTCCTTTTTTAAATTTGATTTTATTTAATCTTTTTTCCTTTTTTAAACAATTTTTCTTTCTTTTTTTCTCTTTCCCTGTCCCTCCCGGTCAGGTTTGGCATTAACCATCTTACTTGTGTAACAAAAATAAATCTTAAATAAATAATAAAGCAGTATTGGATGATCTGGGGAGGCTTCTCACCCTGACCGGCCTCTCTTGGCAAAGCAAACTATCTGCACTCAGATTACAACTCTGCTGCCATAATGCTGAACATGACAAGGGGTTAAAAAAAAACAAAAAAACAAATTTACTTGAGGTAATGAATATCGACTATCAGCACGCACTCGACACCGGCAGCCCAAACTGGAAACACTGGCAGGATTAGGAGATTTATCCCCTCAAATCTGAATTAAATAGGGTTGAAAGAGGAGAAAAAATGCATCAGAATGCAAGAAATCCCGATAGAAAAGTCAAAGAGTGTGAGATTAATCCGTTTCTTAGTAGCAGAATGAGCTTAACAGGTGTTTAATAAGCAGTTTTTATTGAAATAATTAGCGTAAGACTGCTAATTCTGCTAATACGCCTAATGTAGTGCTAACCTGGGCCTTCAATCAAACCAAAGTTTGGAGCTTTGTTTTTTTCTATAAATCTCACAAAAGGAGTCAGAATATCTGGTATTTTTACTGATTTCAGCTAAGACTTTAGCTCTGATTGTCTGTGACTAAGAGAAGCTTTTCTGGATTTCAGGACATTTAAAAAAAAAACGTTATTGCCTTAAATGCAGGTTATCAAGCATTTAGCATCATACAGGGGAACAGAAAGAGGCAGGTAAACATAAAAGATAAATAAACACAAAAAGCAATAAATAATAATAATTAAAATAAAACAGAAATTGGTTTTAGTCTGTCACACTGTAGAGGGTATAGCACACATCTTATCAAGGTCTGTACTCCAGGAAAACAAGGATATTTTAGATTTAAAGAAGCCTTAATAATAACAACAGCAATAATAGTAAAACATGGATATAGTAAAAGTGTACAAGAGTCCTAAGCAAGATATTCAGTAACTTCAGGACATATTTAGGGAGAGAAATAGTCATAATGCATCTTTTCCATTTAGAAAGATGTTCATTTCGCACTTTATGTTTATGTGATCAACACTTGATATAGCTGTAATTAGCTGTAATCAATGAGAATAAAACAAAGATATAATATAGAGTATAAACCTCTGTTTTCTGTTATCCGTGTAGCTGATGTTAACTCTAATCGTAGTGAATCAGTAGTGGATACAAATACAAAAACAGGGTTTTGGGAATATCGTGGTTAGCTAATATAACTTTAAATATCCGGTCTGTCTAAACTAAACCAGTCTAAATCAATCTTTCTTTCCAGCTTTATGATGATGAATTTTGTCTTGTGGTGTGTTTCCAATAAAGACAAAGATATAATATAGAATATAAACCTCTGTTTTCCGTTATCCGTGTAGCTGATATTAACTCTAATCATGATGAATCAGTAGTGGATACAAATACAAAAACAGGGAGATGGGAATATCGTAGTTTGCTAATTTTACTTTTAAGGTCCAGTGGGTCTAAACTAAACCAACCTAAATCTTTATGATGATGAATTTTGTCCTGTGGTGTGTTTCCAGTAAAGACAAAGATATAATATAGAATATAAACCTCTGTTTTCCGTTATTGGTGTAGCTGATGTTAACTCTAATCATGATGAATCAGTAGTGGATTCAAATACAAAAACAGGGTGATGGGAATATCGTGGTTAGCTAATATAACTTTGAATATCCGGTCGGTCTAAACTAAATCAGTCTAAATCTTTATGATGATGACTTTTGTCTTGTGGTGTGTTTCCAGAGTTAAACATGGCGTACAACCCGTCCGACCACCCGCGGGCCAGCACCATTTTCCTCAGCAAGTCTCAGAACGACGGTGAGTTTGACAGATGAACCGGACCTCCTCTGCTTTGTTTACCTTTGAATTATTCAAACCGTCAAATCAAGGCAACCTCATTAGATTTAGTTTGACTTCTCTCCCATCTCCACCACTAGTTCCCCCCCCACAGATGATGAATAACACATAAAAATATAACATTTAATGTTATATCCTATTTATGAAGACCCACAAAGCTCAGTGAACACAATCAGCATAGACATGGACATTAAGCCCAAGCGGATGATTCATTTTACAGGATTTGTTTTCCGGGAATCAAAATCTGGAGAGAAATGATGGTTTATTCATGGAGCGAATATCAAACTAGCCTTAAATCTGAAAAGGTCAAAGTAGGCCACAGCTTGGGACTGCTTTTTTTTCTTTAGTGAGCACAATTTTTTTGACCTATTTAGGGTTCATTTGCATCCATGTTGCGTGCAATATGTCAAAAATATACTTTTGTGATCCAAGCCTGATCCAAGAAAAATAGGAAGAATTTTGGATTTTTTTAGTCTGAAGTCTTTCTTTGGCCCCTCAACAACATATGAAGAAAAAAAAACAGAAATTATTTTGATCAAATTAGCATACAATAAGTCAAAAATATACTTTCGTGTAGTCTTCTACTGGCTGTTATCAGGTGTATCTGAATGTGTACAACAGGGGTTTGAGCAAAGCTTTTACCACTGAATGATGCAAAAAGTCTCAGATCCAAAAGAATATGATACATTTGGCATTTTTGGGCTAAAGTAGAATTGACTTAACTTTTTCTTAATAAAACGGCCAATGACCGTGCGTACACATATGTGATCTTTGCCTATTTCAGCCCTCCCCTCATTCCACAAAACCACACAACCGGAAAATGTAACAAACCTAAAACATGGAAACGTTTCACATTTGTGTGGTTTAGACGCAGAAAAACAAAAAGCGGAGCTAGTCCAGCCGGCTGATATGTGCTAATGTGTGCGCTGGCCTGCGGGCGCCTGACGGAGAGCGTTAGCATCACGTTGGAGGGAATTAAAACACAATGTGACACGGGACATGTAAACAAGCTTCCCGGAGCTCGTGGTGCCAGACAAATGGAAATTCCACCTGATAATGTTGTGTCTTTTGTTGAATTCTGTCTGTAGCATCGTACACACGCTAGTGTTGGAGTTTAGTCGGCTTTATTATTTGTTATTATCTATTATCTGTTTATTATCTTTATTATCTTTAATTTAGTTACTGAAGTTTGTTCAAATAAATCTTTTCCTGGTGAAACTGGATTGATATTTGACCAATAAAATAAAAAAATAAAGCCAAATCTGACAGGATTTTTCTTATTCTCAATTATTTAGTAATATTTAATCTTTACTCTGGCCAAAAACGCCGCATAAAAGTGTGTTGATGAGCTTTTTGGAACATCATAGACTAAAGCCCAGTTTGAAAGTTGATTTAAACGGGTTTGACTTGAATGTATTTGTTGAATTTGGTGTAAGGTGAATAAAATGACCACTCTATATGGCATTAAACCTGCCAACCGACCCCCTCAGCTTTAGATCCTTTCAGTGACAAATTATAGCAGCTTAAAAAGCAAAAACCTCAGCAATAATTAGACTGCCGGTCGGCCCCCGACATCTTTATAAGAGGGAGGCAACATTGGATTTGGAGAAAAGCCCAGAAAAAAGAGCAGAGATGCTGATTTCTTCTGTCCCTGGATGGGATCACCCTCAGATTTCTGGTCTGATTTATGATTTAAAGATGCTTTTGAATGGGACAGACTGACCTGGTGGGCACTAAAGATGCTCTCTTATAAGAAGACCTCAACAAATCAGAATCAGAATCAGAAATACTTTAATAATCCCAGAGGGAAATGCTTTTTGTTACTAACTCCAGATAAACAAGAGCATATACATATACATGTCTATACATATATATACATGTACAAATAATAATACAAATAAAAATATATAATAAATAAATATTTGTTTATAATAAATATGAATATAAAGAAATAATAGGAAATATATATTATTAATAAATATATACATATGTAACAATATGTAGATATACAGATCTAAAATAAGTGACAATAACAATGCGAGAAGAATAATGCCAATAAATTAGTAATAATTTACAGCAATTTGAAATATTTGACATTTGAAAGAGCAACAAGTGACTTTCTGAAACGTTGTGTGTTCTGAAAGCAAATCTATGACTCTGATGCCAGAGAAATAAGGTTGTGGGTTCCTCTTTTTTCAGACGTGCCGCACAGGAGTGGTGAGTAGTGTGTCTCTGTGTCCCTCTAGTGGCTGTTTCTCTCCGGCTTTAGCCCTCTTTAACTGTCCTCCCGCTAATTTTCACGTGTGTTTTCTGTGAGCTGTGTTTTGGCTTGGCGTGACAACGGCCTGCAGTGCAGGTGGATGGTGAAATGGTCTTGTATTTATTTCATATTTTCATTTTTTTTGTGTTTTTTTTTGCAGTGAGAGAAAAGAGAAAAAGCCTCTTCATCAACAATGTAAGTGGGCAGTTTCCCCAGACTGATGTTCTTTTTGTGGGTCAGAAAGGAAGCGTGTACAGTCTAATAACACTCTGTGTGTGTCTGTGTGTCTGTGTGTCTGTGTGTGTGTGTGTGTGTGTGTGTGTGTGTGTGTGTGTGTGTGTGTGTGTGTGTGTG